GAGGGGTATGATTATATTAATGATTAAAATTATAGTGTTTACAAATAATGTAATTTAGTTAATTAAAAAAACTTATTTATTTATTTTCAAATTAAATATCTTTTTAAAAATCAGTATTGAGAATGGATAATGTCAAAAATAAATAAATAAAATAAAAATTGTGAAGAAAAGCCCAACAAATAAAGGGCCGCAGGAAAAAAGGCCGACCGAATGAACGGAAGCCTTAAATGCACGAGGGAGGGAAGAATTTGTCCAGCAGGTTCTCCTCTGTCCTCCTCCTTTATCTCCCCAAAGTCTCCTCTGTTTCGCTAGGGTTTACAACGAACACTTTCCACAGAAACAGAGAGTGGTTCTTGCAGATCAACGTCCGAGGTAAGATTCGTACATTAATTCTTCCGACCCCTTTGTCCTGTGATTCTGTCTCTGCAACTATGTCCAGAATTTGATCTGTCTTGTTTTGTTCTGAATTCTTTATAATTTCAAAAAATTCTGCTCTGTTCTTTGTATATTTAGATTGAAAGAGGAAAATGGGAAGATAAGAGAGAAAGTTGTAAAATTTATATTGATTAAATGGAAAAATTAGGTCAGAAGTATAGGAGAGATTGAGGGGAGATGAGAAATTGTCTCATAAAATTGGCTTTTTTAATCAAGTAATGATCTTTCTTAATTTTTCTCGAAGTTTCCTCAAATTCCTGAGTAAATAGCATGGATCAAAGCAATTGTCACAGGTTGCAAGGCTTGGGCACTACTTGAGTCACAGCTTGCAATCCTATTCCCAGGCTATTTCAAAAATAGACTTAGCAATTGTCTCTCGACATGTTGTTAGACTTTGAAATATAGCAATGTGTCATTGGTGGCGATAATCAAGGTGATGTAGATAATGGATATGACATGGTATTATCTATGTGGGGAGGAGGGGGGTGAACTTGTTGGGTTGTGTGTCTTACTATTCAATTTAATATGTGAGTCTATCTTGATATTTTGTTTCATTTTTCTAGTTGAATGGCATGTTGAATATTTGGGGGTTTCATATGCACTACAGATGGAAGAAGCTCCTCCTAGTTGTGAACTAGTGTGTGATAATAAATGCAATGAGAGTCAAAATGAAAGAGATGGTGAAATAACTGGGTTGGATGTTCAAAATGGTGTGCATGAAGGTAAGAAAGAATTTGTTGCTCCTGCTGTTGGGATGGAGTTTGAGTCCTATGAGGATGCATATAGCTATTATAATTGCTATGCCAAGGAAGTTGGCTTCCGTGTCCGGGTGAAGAATTCGTGGTTTAAGCGGAATAGTAGGGAGAAGTATGGTGCAGTCCTTTGCTGCAGTAGTCAGGGTTTTAAAAGAATAAAAGACGTTAACCGTTTAAGAAAGGAAACCAGAACTGGCTGTCCCGCAATGATACGTATGAGGGTAGTGGACTCAAAGAGGTGGCGGGTCCTTGAAGTCACACTAGAACACAACCACTTATTAGGCACCAAGATCTACAAACCAATTAAGAAGATGGGCACTGGAATAAAAAGGAAATCACAGTCAAGTTCTGATGCAGAAGTTCAAACAGTTAAGTTGTATCGGGCATTGGTAATAGATGCTGGGGGTAACAGTAACTCAAATACCAGTGCAAGAGAAGTGAGGAGCTTTTTGGATCATCCTAATCAGCTCAATCTTAAAAAAGGTGATTCTCAAGCCATTTATAACTACCTCTGTCGGATGCAGCTGACCAATCCAAACTTCTTTTACTTGATGGATTTCAATGACGAAGGGCATTTGAAGAATGTTTTCTGGGTTGATGCACGATCTAGGGCTGCCTGTGGTTACTTCTCTGATGTAATTTATATTGACAATTCATATTTGTCAAATAAATATGAGACCCCCCTTGTGGCAATTGTTGGAATAAATCACCATGGCTATACTGTTTTGCTGGGTTGTGGCCTTCTTGCTGGTGAGACAGTTGAGTCTTATGCATGGTTGTTTAAAGCATGGCTTACATGTGTGTCAGGAAACACTCCACAAACTATTGTTACAGACAGGTGCAAGGCACTGCAGACTGCAATTGCAGAGGTGTTTCCCAGATCTCATCACTGTTTTGGCTTGTCGCATATAATGAAAAAAGTTCCAGAAAAGTTGGGAGGACTGCGTAACTATGATGCTATAAGGAAGACATTGTTTAAAGCAGTTTATGAAACTTTGAAAGTGATTGAATTTGAAGCAGCATGGCGGTTTATGGTCCAGCGTTTTGGTATCACTGACCATGAGTGGCTTCAATCTTTATATGAAGATCAAGCTCGATGGGCTCCAGTTTATTTAAAAGACAAATTTTTTGCTGGAATGTCTGCTGCCAGACCAGGTGAGAATGTCAGCCCATTTTTTGAGAGATATGTGCATAAACAGACTCCTCTAAAAGAGTTTCTTGACAAGTATGAATTAGCTTTACAAAAGAAGCACAAAGAAGAAACTCTTGCAGATATTGAGTCAAGAAACTCAAGCCCCCCATTGAGAACAAGATGCCCCTTTGAGTTGCAGCTCTCCAGAGTGTACACTAGAGAAATATTCAAGAAATTTCAATTTGAGGTGGAGGAGATGTATTCGTGTTTCAGTACAACACAGTTGCATGTTGATGGACCAATTGTAATTTTCTTGGTTAAGGAACGTGTGTTGGGTGAAGGAAATAGGAGGGAGATCAGGGACTATGAAGTACTGTACAATAGAACAGCAGGTGAGGTTCGATGCATATGCAGTTGCTTTAACTTCTATGGGTATTTGTGCCGGCATGCTTTGTGTGTGCTTAACTTTAATGGTGTGGAGGAGGTCCCTTCCAAGTACATTCTGTCACGATGGAAGAAGGACTACAAACGCATATATATCCCAGATCAAGGTTGCAATACTGTAGATGGTGTTGATCGAGTTCAGTGGTTTAATCAGTTATATAGGAGTGCCCTGCAAGTTGTAGAGGAAGGTGTGATTTCACTAGACCATTACAATGTTGCCCTGCAAGCCTTTGAAGAGTCTATGAATAGGGTTCATGAAGTAGAAGAAAAGCAAGGATGACATACTGTTAATGTACAGATTTTTTGTAAATAAAATTACAATTCTCTTCTTTGTTCCCTGCACTTCCTTGAGGTTTGGTTCATTCTTGAAGTTAATACATGCAAGGTTAACTCTTTTTTCAATCTTTTTTGATGGGGCAGAAAGATATCAAGACCAAATTATATCGATTGTTTTTTGAAGATAAGAGATAGAAATGTTGTAAGTTGGGAGTATTGGATTGAGAAATTTTGGATGAGACTCCTAACTTGTATATACTGGATGTCTCTGTTGGCAGAACTTTTGACTCTTTTTTTTTTGGGGGGGATGACCAGGGTATTTTCGTTACTATTTACTCTTGGATTGACAAAATTTTTTGTTATTTGTGGTACACAATGTATGTGAAGGGTAAGTGTATGTTTACAAGCTTTGTTAGCAGCTGTTGACAAGGTGTGGCGTGGTGGGAAAGGGGGGAAATAGGCAGCTTTTTTTTTTTTTTTTTTCCTGAGTTACCATTTTTTTTAGTTATGAGAATACTTCATGAGGATATTTAACCCAGCAGAATGTCTAATATAATTTGTTAATTTTAATGAATGTTTTATAGAGTATATTTTTATAAATTTTAATTAATATATTTTATATTTTTAGAATAATAAAAGACTAAAAAAAATTACTTATAGGCATGATAGAGCACACAATTCCAAACAAAATCGAAATCATGAGGGTACTCTTAATAGATTAATAAAAAAGGAGTCAATAAGCTTTTTCTTGGTAATTTTACGGCAAAAGTGCAATATAAATTAAAAAACTTAATTTCTTTTTTTTTTTTTGTTTATTTTATGTCCTACATTATATTTTGAATTATCATAGGT